ATTGCACTGTCTATGCGTGTGGCAGTGGTGGGTTTCAAAATTTTTTGGAACCTCTTCTGTAGGTGTGGCCTGCTTTCTGGGTCCACTGGTGGAACCTCTTCTAACCGGTTCGGTAGATTTGACGAACCGGTTCTACCGAATAGGTGCGAACTGGTAGGAACTCACCTCTGGTTGATATGTTATTCCAGTTTTTTTCTATTGGCCCATGGTCTATCTTAGTCTCTGAACGTTCAATGTAATCATGTATTGCAATTTTAATTGAACTCTTGGATAACATTCTACTTAGAACAGAAAGTGGATAGAAAAATGTGTGGCAAAGCAATTGTGAAAGCACACTGTGATTTTTTTCATGCACCGATGTTTTTGTTTTGTACCACTAGTGGGGAACACAAAGAGTAACTGCCTTGCTAAGTGCACAATAAATCATATCGGACTCAAGTCTATTCAAGATACCATGAATATTGGCTCTCTTGTGTTTTCTTTGGGAATTATTCATATAGCACACGGAGGACATTAGTTTCCTCACATTAGTTCCACCATGACATTATGGGTGTTGAAGTAGAATATATCTGAAGCAATGGGGAATTGTTTTAACGTGTCTCTTTGCAAAATGGTCTGTTGTGAGGCAAAAAATGTAGGAACTCATCTGAAAACATTTTGTTGCTACAGTATATATTGGGTTTTTGAACTCATTATTTGTATAATCATTTCTTGACTCAATATAATGGCTTCCCCCATCCCCGCTTCCCACTGATGCTCAGTTTGAGGCATTTGGGGAAGGTTTGAAGGAGATTTTGCATAATAGAAATAACATGAATCCTTAGTAAAAAAAAATAAGGAACATAGATGGAAAGCAGATGTTTTTCTGTTGAGCAAACTTTCAGAAAGAACAGGAAAATAACCCCAACCATCTAGACCAGTGATGGCGAATCTTTTCAGCACCGATTGCCAAAAAGGGAGCGCGCCTCTGCGGTCATCAGGGCCACAACTCAGAAGAGGAGCAGCCCAGAGGCCATGGGCACTCTGAAAAATAAACTTCTGGTTTCCAGCGTGCACATGCATGTCGGCCAGCTAGTCTTTTGGTTACTGGCACACATGCGTGCACAACGATCAGCTGGCTGGCACGGATGCTCATGCTGGAAAACAGAAGGCCAGCTCTTCCAGTTTTGGCACTGCCGCACACCTGAAGCCCAGAACAGGAATGGACAATGGCAAGCATGCCAGGCGACATGGCTCCGTGTGTCTCTTCGGCCACGCCTGCTGTAGATTTGCTATCACAGATCTGATCCTTTCCCCCTGCAGAAATAGTTGAATATTATTGCATCCTACATGCACTAGTTGTTCCCTTTCTGGTCTTGTGTGCCACACTGCTCAGAAGTCAGGGCACTGTCTTGCCTCGGTTTCCAGCTGCTGATTGTTTTGATTTCTGTGGGGAAAATTCAACCGTCCTCTTCTTTCCTCCTGGGATTAAAAAAGACAGAATATGGTGGCTTTGGGGTTTGCTTGAGCTACCTTTCTTATAATCCTGATGTGCCTGACCACAAGCATGCTCAAAAGCCACGATCTTATTTTTTAATCCCAGAGGTAAAGTCGTTCCGACCTCCGTCAGACAGAAGCTCCTCATTAAGGGGACTTTTCGGGCTTTGACGGGGCTGCGTGGTGGTGGGTCCAGTCTTTGCTTCCAGGAGATAAACGGATTCGGGGCGCTGCGTCCTTCCTTATCTCTGGATCCATCTCGACCCAAGATCGAGAGAGATGCCCTCTCGGCCGTCCGGAGAGGGAGGTCGCTGTTGCCTCGAGGATCCGAGCGCCCCCTCGGGCGCCTCACTCCGCCTTTTGTTCCCAGACCATGCGCGTCACCGTCTTCGCAGCTGGGCGGGGATACCGAGGACGACGACGACGAGCAGGAGGCGGAGGGAGCCAACCGAGGAACTGTTGCTGCTTGTGGAGCGGCGGAGACGAGCATCATCGCGGCGTGGCGGCAGATTAACGGCCAGCCTAACCTGTTTTCGTCCCCCGAGTCGAGCGAGCCCGCTGGAAGAGCTTGAGCCGTCAGGAGATCCCAGCGCGGAAACGAGGGAGGCTGCTTTCCGGGCCGGGTCATGAGCGGTCCCAGCCCCAGACGGCTCCGGAGGGGCCAGTGAGGAGCCGTCCGGTGCGGGGATGGCAGCAGCGCCGTGCGAGGCGGAACCCAGCCAGCGTCTCGCCCCGGCCCCAGCGCCGCTGCCTCCCGCGCAGCCCGAGAGGAAGAAGCTGCACCGGGCACCGTCCCCGGCCAGACCCAAGGATGTGCCCGGGTGGTCGCTGGCCAAGAGCCGGCGGGGCAGCCACCCCGGTTCGCCCGTTTTCTTCCCCGGCAAGTCAGCCGTGGGCGGCGGACATTCGCGCAGGGCTGGGAGCGCCAAGGATGGCCGCGGCGAGAAGAAGGGCAAGGCCACGCCGCCGATGGGGTCGCGGGGCTCCGGGAAGGGCTCGGGAGGCCGAGTCGGGGCGAGAGTAAAGGGGCGGAGCCGCCTCCCCGGAGCTGGCGAGGGGGCAGCTGCCTCCGGCGGGGCCGGAAAGGTGCCGTCGGCGCGCTCCCAGCCGCCGCCTGCCCTCAGCCTGACAGACAGCAGCTCGGAGGTCTCGGACTGCAGCGCCTCGGAAGAAGCGAAGCTCCTGTCGCTGCTGGAGCTGGGCGGGTTGAGCGGCGGCGGCAGCGACACGGAGTCCCCACCCAGCAGCAGCGCCCCTGCCCAGCCGGCCAGTGCCTCCGCCGATGGCGTCTCCCCGCTGCCCGAGGACCTGTCGACGGGGGCCTCGCTGGCCAGCAGCCGCCTCCCCCTCAGCACCTCGCTGGCTTTCTCCGACCTCACCGAGGAGCTGCTGGACGCGGGAGTCGCCCGGGAGTTGGAGGAGCTGCGCTCCGAGAACGACTATCTCAAGGTGAGCGGGGTCCGGGTGGAGGGCAGGCTGGGCGGAGATTGAGCAGGCACGAGGCTGTTTTCTCAGGGGAAAAGCCCAACCTTCGATTTTGCACAGCGCAGATTTTGCAGAGAATTGTCTCCCCCCCCACCAGGGCTCTTCGTCGCCCAGGAAGTCTTTGTAGAAGAGGCACGCCCCTTCCCTCAAAAGATGCTTGTGGGTCGAATCTAAAATCGGGCCTCCCCTACTCCATACTGTTATGTGGAACAATAACTTGTACAATGACTTCTCCTGAGGTGGTGCTCTCCAGAGGTGCTGCTGCTGTAGTGACTGTACAAGTCTGAAGCCTTGGAAAAGGCAGGTTTAGGACACCGCCATCATCTGTGTCCCGTCCCCCCCCCCCAATTCACCTTGGCCAACTCACCCTGGCCCACTGGTGCTGGACACTTCCACATGGGATAATTGGAACAAAGTGAATCTAGAAATACAAGTTACACTAAGAAATGGTGGAGTAGACACATTAAAGAAAGGATGCTAAAAGATGAACAAAATGAAATGTGAATGAAAAAAAAAAGATGAACACAGTCAAAGAAACAGTGGCAGTTCTCTCATGTTCAGTTATCCCACAAAAAATCGTCCTATGACGAATTGGCTGCTTTGAGTTGTCCCACGGTGAGTTGGCCCGGGTGAGTCAGTCCCATTCTGAGACAATGTGGTGCATTCTGGAGAGCACCACATTGTAGAAAGCCTTTCTAGAAGGAAAACCTAGAAATACTTTACCTGTGGTGGATGTTATTGCTACTCATAGAGTTCATGGCCCCTTAGTATTGTTTAAGACATTTACTGCTAAATGTGTGCAACCCCTCCCTCTCCTTCCAATCCTGGAGCAAAAATGGGTCATTGTTGGAATGGTCCTCTTTGTTTTGAAGCAGGTATTCATCAAAACCTATAGACCAGGAATATCATGTCCTTTAGCAAGATCTGTTGCCATGTTGAATTCTGTAACCCTTTCATTGATGAGGAATCTAGCTTTACTAGAACAGACACTCATAATAAAACAAATGTTCACCTTTGTAGGATATTGATTATGCGCAGGACATGTATCTTACAACCCTAAAGACACCCACCAGCCGCCTAAAACTCCTAATTTACATTATTTTGCCTCGGGAGCATCCAGACTTCATGTTTAAAAGATACACATGCTTTCAAAAGATGTTTTTCCTCCTAAATCTCTTTTGGTTTACTGAAACAGATGTTCTGCAATGCAGTTTCTATCAGTCTTTGGATGTGTCAACAGCTACAATGTCCGGAATTTGAGTCTTTTTGCAACTTATTTCCAAAAAACACCCAGAAGGCATTGAATCTGTTATGTTACTTATTAGAAATAAATTATTATATTGATAAATTGCCATAACCACAGCTTTCTGGGTAATATGTAGATTTATTGTGATACAGATGTTTGTTCTTTCTTAGAAACAAAAAGAAAAAGGTTCCTAGTCATATTTAATGGAAGGAATCACACCTGTAACATTGCAGGCACTTCATGCAATGAACAACTGCCTCTTACTGACATAAGAGTTTCCTCTCTGTGGCATCTTAGAGTTATATTACATATTCCTTATCCCATCAGTTGGACTCACCATATCCTTAAGGAAGGAATTCCATTCTTATGGAACTGGAATTACCCTCTCACATTTCATTTCAGTGTTTCAAGAATAGGAGACTGTTGAGGTCTAATAAGCAAAAACCTCTTAGGATTTATTAGAGCTTGTTAAAGGTTATTTTATCTCCATGGGAAGCTGCTTCCCTATGGCAATTGCGTATTAAAATTCTAACATCATGTCCTCAGGTTTTGATTGGACAGAGGTTTTCTACAGGATGATTAGGTGCTCTCAGAGTAGTATGACATTAATGTAGAGCAGAAGGGTAATTTGTATCAGCTCTAGCTGTACTGAAGGGCAAGAAGTTGTACAGAATTATAGTTCAGTATGTGTGTATCTTAATGCAAACTTGTTTTTTCTTTGGAGTACCAATTTGATTCTCAATAACTATGTATGTATGTGTTTGTATGTCCTGCCCTTATTATTTTTTATAAGTAACTCAAAGCAGATAACATACTTAATACTTTCTTGTCTTATTTTCCCCTGCAATAACAGCAAGCCTGCAAGGTGGGTTTGGCTGAAAGAAACTGACTGCATCACAGTCATCCAAATGGCTTTCATGCCTAAACCAGGACTAGAACTTACAGTCTCATGTTTTCTAGTCTGACCCCTTAATCACTAGACCAAATTAGTCCATGCAGTTTTCTAAGCAACATTTTCAGAAGTTGTTGGCCCTTGCCTTATTGCTACGGCTGATGGAAAGTGACTGGCCAATGTTATCCAGTTTGTTTCTGCTTAAATTACAACTAAATCTCAGGTTTCTCCAATCCTAGTCCTGTGCCTTAATCATTGGGCCAGACTGGCTTTCTGATTCAGAAGCTAAGATACCTTAAATGGAAATTTCTATCTATCTATCTATCTATCTATCTATCTATCTATCTATCTATCTATCTATCTATCTATCTATCTATCTATCTATCTATCTATCTAT